GCTAGGAAGGTGTAAAATGCTCTTTTGAATGCTTATATTGTACTGGTTGTAACTGAAGCAAGGGACTATTCACGATTTCCTGTGTCAAACTGTTTGCAAGTCCCACTGGCCATAAATACTGAAAAAAGAAATAGCAGCTGTCCCCATATTGCAGTCAGGTTGAGTAACCTTAAAGCATTCAGAATTTGTAAGATTCTCAATCTAATACTTTGTATTGACTTTCTCTCTGTGTACTGCTTTTATCCACAGTGGTTTCTGTAAGCTAATTTCCTCCAAACAAGGCGAGTATGAAAGATAAATAAAGGACAAAGCAATATGAGGTAATAGTCCCTGGGGAGTCTGACCTGTCCTTGTGGTGACAGGTCAGCCCCCTCCCCCACCCCAGATTGATGACTGACTTGGTTTGAAATGTTGCTGCTGGTTATTAAATGTGGGACCTACCAAACCCTTCGGACTGCCTGGATAATCCCACCACAAATTAAGGAGAGGAAAATTGGTCAGGGAGAGCGAGGAGTGGAGAGAATCTTCATATTGTGACCTACTAAACGGTGAAAACACAAACAAGTGCACATTGGTTAACAATTCTCATATTTATGTTAATTTGTAAGGAATTGTTCTTGTCATGGATTTTGATCAAAGGTTAAATGTAGTAACAGCAGGTGAAATTAAAGAGATGTTTGCTTTTAGAAAACTAGAGTATTGTGTAAAGTGCCTTTCTTAATTTACTTCTTATTGTTTTAACTTTACAATATCAAGTTAATGTGAATGTGTGATTATATGGTAACGTAATAGTCAAATAGTTGCTGCTGTCTTGACCATGTTTCTTTTGGAATGAGGTTTTGGGTCTTTACCAAGCTAAATTACATAGAGAAAAGAAAGAAAAGTGCCATGTGCACCTGTCCTCTCACATATAGATAAAAACAAACATGCAAAAACAAAGCATTATTAAGGCTCAGTATAGTACATTACCATAGAAATATCCCTAACAATAAGGAATGCATGCTTTATTGCAAAGATACTGATAAATTGGGGGTTGATGCAAGGATTCGGACTTCTTTTTCTGTAACTATATCTCCACTCAACTATTTCTTATCTCTAAGGTCGTCACTCTCACTCTGTCTTCCTGTATTTCTGTGTATACCATCTCTAAGCCTGTCATATAAGATAAAACATCAATAAAGCCCTGAACTGGATCTGAACCCTCCATCACTGAGAGGTTTAGTAAACACTATTATTGAATATTCAGCCTAATTTAAGAGCAAATACAACTGACCATCTAGCCGCTAGCTTCTTTCCTCAGTTTCCAAGCTCCTTTGAGGAAGCCCCTAGACAGTAGCCAAAGTAAACAAAACACATTTGTAACAGAGAAATACATAATATATTAAAAGCCACTGGTGTGTTATGTCAGCATGATCGATATTAGCAGAGTGTTATGGTTAGGGGAGATCAAACTTGACCTGGAGAGAGTATTGGGTTTGAAAGTGTGGTTTTGTAATTTACCTGTTCCTGCATGAGTGTTTGACTTGCAGCAATGATTCCCTCCTGAGAAATCTGTTTTTTATTTATTTATTTATTTATTTTTTTATTGAAGTTGCCCTTGCCAGAGTCTCCCCACTCTTTGTGGAAAGAGGAGGCTGTGTTGTGGCACACAGTGTGACAACAGATCTTTTTGACTAAAACAGGATAATGGTGCAGATGTTTCTGGTGTCAGCCATATTTCAGGCTCTGGAAGTGAGACTGTGATGTTATGAAACCCAGCAGTAAAGAAGGCAAAATAAAGTGTAGTGTTCATATCATACACCTTAAATTTAATGACCAACAATGTGCATTTATACTGTACATGCATTGCTATATTTTACTATTAAACTATTATGAAATGTTTTATTCACCATTAAAATCACCATTTAACCATTTAATCACCATGAATCTATTTTGAAACATAGTGAAAGTAACAAATCAGTATCACTGGTCAGAGGGTCATGATGCTGAGTGAGGCAAACGCCCTGTAGGTTACTATTCTTTGCCCAGCCTTATCACCAATCACCAGAGAAGTCAATCTCAGAAGATTTTGAAAAGCCCCATAAAATGCTCCATAACATCATTCAACATTTTTTTCTCAAACTTTTGTTTTGATTTCCCACTCATATGATATCACACATCAGCTCCCCTCTCATTGACTGTACCCAGAACGTCTTCTCATACTAATTTTTTTCCCGTCAGCTATCACCTTTTCCATTTTCAAATATGTATTTTTTTCTTTTATTCTCTTTCTGGTGTACTAATGTAGGGTGGTATGCAAATATTTAAGCTGTTTCTTAAATACCGCTGATGAAAAAATGTTAGGGTTAGCCCCCCTCGCCAGGAGGGTGAGGGAGAACTAGAGGTAGGACACAAGATTGCTGACCCAGGTGCTAGTGCAAAACAAAGGTTTACTGGGGAAAAAAAGAAGACAAAGCCAATGTAACAACAAAAACAGGGTCCGTAATACTCACAACAAAGGCAGGGCAGTGACAACAAAGAAGACCAGGACGAATAGGTAAACACACAAACTAACGGCAGGAGAGAGGGCACATATTGTCCAAGAAGTAAAGCTGCGGAGATGAATCAAAACGTATAGGTGTTGTGGGAATAGCGTATGTAGTGTTTAAAGGAGTCAAGCCAAAACGCACAGTAACTGTCAGCGTAGCATTCCATTAACACATACATAAAGCGGCGCGGTGTCAGTAGCTATTGTTAGCTATGTACGATAATGTTTGACAATGTTCCGGCCAAGGCGGAGCGTCGGTCAGGAGTTTAAATAAGGGAAGAAAGTAATCACCGGGATGCACCTCAGCTGTGTGCGCCGACAAACCAGCCACCAATCACTGCAACGCAACACAGCTGAGGCGCAGAGCCCACAAAACGGAGAAAACAAAGAAACAAAAAAGGAGGAGAGGCAGCGGCCGCCGAGCGGCCCTGACAAAAAAAGATAATCCAACTTTTTGGATGTCACTGTATTCTCTAATACATCTTTAAATAAACAAACTGATGTGTTAAAATTAAATTTCACTTCTAATCTATCTAGCAGCAATCCAAAAAGGCAAATAATCTGCAAAACCATGCTGAATACACTTACCAGATATACTGCTATCATACTTATTAACGCTGTCTTTTGAACAGTACGTTCTATACATTCAGTCATACTGGATTAGAAGCAGATTTTCATTTATTGTTGCATTTCTCCTTAAATCTTGGTTCCATCATTGTAATCTACATTCTAACAAAGTATCTAAAGAATGTGATTTCTACAGAATGTAACAGGTGTAATTGATAACATTTAAAACAACTGCATTCTATATTGTTATAAGTCAAACTTCCTGCTGTTAAAATGGTCTGTTGTAGATTTCTGCCTTCACACCCATAATTTTTATCTCATTACATAAAGCATTATATACTGTACTTCCTGCATTGCCACTGAACATTGACACTAGATAAATTGTCCAATATGGACATAAATTCTTGGAAACTGGCCTGTACATAAGTTTGCAAAACAATCACAAACCTTCACAGTATGTGGAAGCACTGTAAATCCTAAAATATATCTACTGCTACAAGTCAGCTTTATGTGCTAGCCCATAAGTACAGTCATAGATCATAAATAAATAAAAAAATCACAGTGAGCACAGACTGCAGGTGAGCAAGGACCTGGAGTGATTCACAGTGAGTGTAATAGTAGAATCAACTTCAGTTCCCATGGAGATCAACAGCCTTGCAAATAAAGGGTTAGTGAGAAAACATCAGAAACCCACAGAATTATCAAGTAGTATAGGACTAAATAATGGAAGTATGAGTGAAATAGGTTGGAGTGAAACAGTAATGAAAGAGAGTAGAATGTTTTATGACGTGAATTTATTAGAGCAAGGGCAGGTGAAAGACATGGGAGAAGGGACTTGGTTCACTGTTTCAAGAGAAATACCTGTACTTGAAGAGTTTGACAGAATATTGAAAGGCAGAGTGAGACTCTCTGTCTGGAATATACACACACTGGCAGTGATGTTGTTCCCATCTTGATTCTAGCGATTATACTATCTTCAATAGCGGAATAGCGGCTACCCTGCAGGTGGTCACAAGAAACACTTAAAATAGCATCCAGTCTTCTCATGGCATGAAATACATGTGAAATGTGCTACAGTGTGAGCTGTGATTAAAATATGCTGCACTCCCAGTAATACATGAATCTGGTGTATCAGATGGAACCTTAGCACCAGCATATGCTTGCTGCAATGATCCACCAGTGGATGACAGGTGGTTATTGACTATTTGCATAATTATGGGTGTAATGTGCAGACTGCAAGAATGTCATAAACAAATCCATATGGCCTTTTGGGAAAATCCAGATGATTCACATCACAGCTCATTGATATACTCACCGCCTTCCCTGTGTAACAGAAATCAGTAGGATTTCCCACTGAATGCTTTATCACAACTATGCTCCTGCTACTTGTTTTGGCAGCTCTGATCAAATGTGGGAACTGCATAGTCAGTCAGTGTGGCAGCAGTAACATGGCCCAGTGTTTCCTGAGTTCATAATCTGGAAATTTTCCAGAACCAGTTGGTAGTGCAGTTTTTTATTTATTTTTTTGTAATTACGCTTGCGATTGTTATTTATACAGTGGTTACACTGAGCAAGGTGGGACTCAAGCCAAGTTAAACCTTTTGTAGATGAGTTGTACAGTGTTTCCTTTTGAGCTCAGTGGACCTTTATATGAAAACAAATGTACTGATAATCACCACTTCCCATGATTCAGCAAACACAGTGCCATTTAGTAGAAGGTACTGCAGAGTTCTTGTCAGAGGCCCCAGAAATGTACCACTGTGCCACTGAATAAAGCAGCAATTGGCCTGACATGACTTACTGTAGCAATCATTCTCTTGGGTCTCATACCTGTTCTCATTCTATGGATCTAATTTTTCCCTTCTCCTCTTTTCTTTTGAACATTCTTATACTCTCCCATCTGCAGACATGCCTCTCCATGTCCGTCGCAGCAGTGATCCCTCCTTGGCTGACCTTCCTCTTGGTGAAGTTCTGGTTGGTTCAGAGGAACCATCCAGAAATAACCCAACGCGATGGTCCACAACAGCTGGATTTCAAAAGTATAGCCTTAAACCAAACACAAGCATTGGTACTGGAAGTCTGGAACGAAAGGTAAATTATACATCTGTGATGCATTGTTTAAAATGTGTGTTAAGCTTGACTTTTGACTTTTAAAATGAGAAATACTTCAAAAATACAACTTATTATGACATACCATTTATGTCAGGGTTTATGTGAAGACTCGACAGACAACAAATTCAGATATTATATTGATACTAACAGCATCTTGCCCAGATGCACTGGAACTGCATCAGTTATAATGTTAAAGATATGTGTGCTGAAATATTCAAGCATCCAACAGTCTGTTTTTAACTTCCTTACTGAGCTTTATTCCCTCATTTTCATTCCTTGTCTCTGCTGCCTTCCAAATCAAAGAAATAACCACTGATCTGAAACCTTTGTTGCCCTTCTTTCAGATATGCAGCAGTGGCATAGATAGTCTTTATCTGAAACTAATTCCTTCTGGTAGCACCCCTTCTAGTCTTGCAAAAAGATAAGGAGAGAGTGTTTAACACTTTCCCTTTGTTCTAAATTCACCTTTTTAAGTCTCTGATAAAAAAAATCGTAGTAAAGCACAGCTCAGGTACATCCTGCGGCTCCCAAAGAAAAGTGAAGGCAATTACCTTCTCAAAATGGCTGGCTTGACATAATGCTAACAGACCTTTACTTGTTGCATTGAAAGAGGTATGTTCCCAATGAATCAGGGAGGCTAAAATGAGATGAGTGTTTAAAACCTGACTTGGAAACCCACCACATGATTAATTTGTCTGGTACTGTTGTCTTAACCCTGTAAAGCCTGACACATCAAAAAATAGCCAGAACATTCAAATTTTTTGGAACTGAGATGTTTATTAAACCTTTTAACAAAATCCAAAAGAAAATTCAAGATTCAAGATTTTTATTTGCCATTTATGCATAGACAGACAGTCCAGGAATATAGGAATAAATGTGCCATATTATTTTGATTATTATTATTATTTTTGTATCACATTTGATACATGGGGCATTTTTGGTGATTTTTTTCCTTAGAAACTCACGTAGCAAATATGATACAAATGGTTTTATAGGGTTAAAGATATTTTATTGGTCAGACACCCAACAATATAACAGCACAAAAACATTTGCAGTGAAAGGGTTATTAAACCTTATCATTTTGAAAAGAAGCTTCCTTTTAGGTCCAAGTCAACTTGAGCCAATACATGCATAAAATGTTTATACAAAGTGCTAAAAATAGTCAGTTGGACTTGCTTGAATGTCTTGAAGATGTTTCATCTCTCCTCCAAGAAGATTCTTCAGTTCTGACTGACTGGTGGGGAGTTCTAGGTATTTATTTACCTTCTGCAGAGAGGTATCAGATGGCAGCCCCGGTTGAGCACTATCTAGAGTGTTTGTTGTTTTTCTTTATTTTCTTGGTTTTCTGTAACCCATCAGAAATTACATTCACCAGAGATAAACTCCTAAAGATCAGACAGCTCACTCCGGGCACTCTTTCTCTTATTTTTGCAAATGCAAAAACTTGCATAGACATTTTGGTCAGAGGGGCAGCAGCTCTCTATGGGACCTTGAGAAAAGGCCGACAAGGAAAGCTAATTACTTTAAGTTAAGCTATGGCAGCAAGGGACCCCTGCACTACTCCCACCCATTGACCTTCTCCTCGCTAATCGAACTTAATCTGACTTCACGTTCTGCTGCTTTCTACTTCATGGAGACTGGACTCAGCAAGTCCATCTCAGACTGTGCAATACTGTTTGTGCTCCACTGGGTTTGTGAGAATCACAGTGTAAAAACGGGTCTGGTTCTGTGGATTTCCTATAAACCTCACTGTTAAGACTTCTCTCATCATCAATGAGTATGGTACAGTCCAGAAAGGCCAGACTGTTTCCTCTGACATCCTCCTATGTGAACTTGATGTTGTGGTCCATTTCAGTGTTGTGCTCAGTGAAGGCTTCCACCTCCTGCAAGTTGCAAATGGGGCCACATTTGTGGTTACATCCCTTTTCAAAAATAGATAAAGTAACAAATCTTTTGTAAAACCCCCACCCCCATCCCTCAACTCCCGACATACACGCACTCTCTCTCTCTCGCTTTCTCTCTCTCACTGTCTCTCTGTATCTCTGCCTTTGTCTCTCTTTTAAATTAATTATGAAATTTTGAGGAATACTCAGAAGGTAATAGTAATCCTAAAGCCTAAGAAAAAAAAAAACCCAATAACCTTGTTTGTTTAAAAATAGTATTGTACAGCATTCAATTCACAGAATGAAAAAGCTGTTACCTGGTTATTACTATCATATAATGCCATTATTATCATTTTATTATATCATATGGCTCCTTTTTACCTTGTTATTACATGATTGTAGCCTCCGTGTTATAGTGCAGTGATGCTAATCCCTCCACCCTCCTGTTCCTCTGCAGGCTAGAGGACCCCATGACTACCGGAGTCTTCCTCGGGATGCAAGTGGCTGGACCACTCAGTTCCAGAGACAGATGACAAGATCCTCCCTCGGTGCCAACCATCCAATGGTGGACCAGTGGCTTGACAGACAGGAACAGGTACGGTTGGGGACTTAATCCCTTAAAATTTAAATTAAATTAAATTCAATTCAATTCAATAAATACATTTTGCACCGATGCTACAGATTTTAAATTTTAGAAAAAGAGTACTACTGGATTTGTACAGGGTAGTGGAGTATTGGAATTGGTTTGGAAGGAGAAAAAGTTGAATGTGTGTGTCCCTGTCAAAAGGTTTTGTACATACTCCATGTGGCACTCTCTCTGAAAGTCTAGTTGCCCCAAAAATATGTTCTACTGAGTGACAGTAACATATGACATATACCATAAAGTAGCAAGAGCAGATGTATTTGTTCTGTATTCGTACTGTTGTATATCTATGCTGCATTGTGTCATAAAGTATCATATCTGATTATAGTGTAACAGCAGAGTAGTGACAGAGCAGTGATTAGACACAGACTACTCACTTCCCAAGCCAAAGTCAAACAGAAGCAGTAACTATCATCAGACATAATATTTCTGCTCTCTGTGGCAATAGTTTTCATAATTTACTAGTGTACACCATTACACCTCCACACTTCATATTTCCTCGTTCTCCACTCTCACTCTCTCTCTGGTCCCTCTACTCCTCAACCTGTCATAAAGGAGAAAAAAATGTTCCCTTTAAAAGTTATTAAAAGTGACAGAGGCTATCTGCTGGGAGAACCGGAATGACCTTGGGAGGTGTCAGACACGTCGAGCTTGACGTGAAGAGGATTTCTTCTACCACTTCTCATTCTCTGCCCATCAGTTCCTCAACTTCCTCCTCAGATCCACAAAGGAGGTGTTTAATTGATCTGTCCTTCATGTTGTAGAATAAGAAAAGAGCAATACGAGAGTGTGAAACATTCATAGGGGAAATAAAGAGTAAAGGGAATGCAAAAACAACTGAGGAAATTATGAAAGTGTTCAAATACAAAAGAGTCAACTGAGATCGAAGCTCTTGGCTTATTTCACAGATACCTTATCTGCATTGGATCCATTTATCCTTCCTAGATTATCACATATATACATGTCTAGGCTTCAGTAATGTGAGGTTCTACCAGGTCTGCCTGTCTCAGTCTAGTTGCACTGAAAATCTACCTAACCAGGGTTGCATATTACTGTTTTACTGGCCATAGTTTTTTGAGGTAATATTTCAATTTCTATGTATTGTTGTACAGTTTTTGTCTCCGGCTAGACCAAGGACAAAGTAGTCCCATGAAGAAGAAGTTATTACAGTGCAGTGTGTACTGTATTTTGTGCATGTGAAGCCACTGAAGTATTGCTATAATAGCTTTTTCAGTTTATTTTCTGGGATTTTGAAAAATATTATTTTTTGCTTTGAGTTTGATAAGAAGATAGATCAATGCCATGCTTATAATTGCACAGTAAATATTATGTACAGAAACCATCAACTATTTGCTAGCTTAGCATAAAGAGAAGCAAATGGAAACATTTAGCCTCGCTCTGTCCAAATGTAACAGAATTTACTGAACTGCACCTGCAATGCACGCTAGTTAACATCTTAACCTGTCTTATACATCACTGTGAAGTTACCAGCCAACAAGTGAAGGCATTAGTCACTGCACCAGAAAAGAAATACTGTTTCTAGTCTTTGTGCTAAACTAAGCTAAATCACTCCTATTTCTACTACAGATATGAAAATGTTTACAACCTTTTCATTCACAGTAAGTCATAGCAAACTATTCTTTTAACATAATGGCACAACATACCTTTGAATGAACATAACAGGCCTATCCTACAGTAATGAGTTGTTGCATTGTTGATGTATACTAAACCCTCAATATTTGGTGTACATATTATTAGACTGTGCAGCACCTATATTCAGTTTTATTTAAATTCCTGATTTTATCAATTATCAAAATAATTAGTAGAAATTATTGGAGTAGCTAAAAGAGAACAAAATGTTCCAAAATTAAATACCTTCCAAAGTTTTTACGTTAAAACTCACAAACAGCGAATAAATATGAGATTACTATTTTAGAGCAGATGTCTTACCAGCATCAGTATTTAAAAATGTAATGAATAACAGCAGGAGTGTCTCAGTGTAAGAATCTACATGGTGGCCAATAACTAGTTGCTGCTTGAGTCTGACAGCTGTATAACTAAGGTTATTCAAAAAACACAAAACCAAATCCGCTCATTAGAGGTGATACAGCGTGGGCTTCAAGGGGGCACCATATCAGCAGTTTCTTTTCTTCACTTAGTGCAATCTCAGTTTTGATTGCTGCCTTTCCCTCCCACATGTGTTGGTTTGATATTTTGTCTTTGATGGGTGGAAGCACTGCAGTATTGAATTATAAGATAAAAATACACTGCGTGGGTTAGTTAAAAAGAATTGTGATCAGTGCTAAAGAGCTGCTGGAGATAATGAATGCACAAACACACATGCGCCACCACAATAAGTGTGAGTGTGTGTGTGACCAGGTACCAATCACCTCAATACAAGTAATACCAGGTGCGTGCAAACGCACACACATCCCTTACAGGGTCCGTACATACACTTACTTTTGTTTCCAGGAGCCTTACTCTAACCTTAACTGGAACCGCTACTTGCCTAACCTTAACCTAGCTTTTTCCAAAGTGCCAGGCGCACCTCTCCTGGGGGGCACCAGAGGTTTTCAGGGGAGGCGCAGCCTGAGAAAATATAAACCAGAATATATAATTGTAAATATCAGCTAATGGCACACTAGCTAATGACAGTATTAGACCATGTAAACGAGTGTGGTGATCAAGACAAGAATTTTTTGATAGGAAACTAGGGGATTCCCAGTCACAGAAGAGAGTAATTGAGACATTTAACACTGTGAATATCGAGGCAACAGAAGCATCACACACAGCTAAGGCAGGTATATGGAATATGCACGATGTGAGATGATATGATATGAAATGAAAGGGAGAAGAGATAGGAGCCCTCTTTTCTGTTGACTGTAATGCTGTGGGGATTTTTGTCCAGTTTGCCCATGTTCCACATAATGATTGATTTGTACGATGATGGTTTGCTTCTTCAATTAATGACCAAACATACAGTAGGTACGGAGCTGAGTTTGTTTGGACAACGTGCATTAGACAGATCTTCTTGCTCTCCCTCTCAGCAGCAGATTGTTATTTTAGATAGCTGCTTCAACACAATGTATGATTTAGTTGAACTGAGGCAATTTTAGTAAGAATGTTGTTTATTTTTATTTTGTGATTGGACTGTGGAAGATTAATTGGTAAATAATTTCATAAAAGTGTAGTCTACAGTTTAAGTGTGAATGTGCGAGAACACTGGATACAGATTTTTTAATTATATTTTTATTTATTTAAAAAATCAATGTGTACTGTGGAATTGTGTTGTTAAAGTGTTTGCTTAAAAGAGGTTTACATTTATTGTTTAAAGCTATTACTGAATGGAACATACAGTAGGCTACACCAACAGTGATGATAGAAGTAATTTGTTTTGGGGGGGGGTGTTCACAATGTCCTCTGAGAGGAGGCTCACCTCCTCAAACTTTGAAAACCACTGCCCTAACCTTAGCCAAAGCCAACACTTTTTCTAACCTTACACCCAGTCATTTTCATAAAATTTCAATTAGTTGTGGGGCCCAGCCTCTGGTCCTTGCAAAGCAGTGGGTTACAAGTGTTTTGTCCCCACAAGTATAGATAAACAAGACCACACACACAGACACACTAATGCACCATTTATATTTGAGCAGGCCTTCCCACCCTTTGCTATAAATTAGGAATGTGAAGTCAGGCTGACTATAACGACACATTCACCTCAATGCTTAAAATACCAAAGAGGTTCTGGGGAGGTTGGATGCTCAATCTTAAATTCTGTCATTACCACAAGAACCCAGAAGTGATAGAGGGATTTGAAACAGGGTGCAGAGTAGTAACCATAAATGGTGCTTCTCTCAGTATTTTATTTGAAAATTACACAACCTGTGTCTGGTACCCTTATAAAATATGGCACACACATTTACACGTATCCTCAGCACACTGATCACAAGGCCATTTCACCTGGCAAGTGTCTTATGTTACCTAACCAGTCAATAAATTCACTTCAATGCCAAATAGTTTAAGCTGAGACTTTAGGAACTACAGCATCCCATACCCTCCTTTGTGTAGCATGGAGAAGAGTATGCTTTATCAGCCCATAGGCACCAAGGCCTTATGAGTTCTTCTTTATATATATAGATGATATTGTGGCATGCTAGGGTGTAGGGGGGCGCCAGCAGAGCTCCCGTCTGCCCCTGTGGACAGCGTCTGTGAGTTCCTGAGTTATTGTTGTAACATGTTCTGTTTTTGTGGGAGCGGTACCAGACCAGCTGGGCTGAGACACCATGACTGAGGGTTCTGGTGGGACTAATGGGCTTCGGCCATCATGTAAATAGTTGTGTTTGTAGTGATAATAATGTTGTGCGGGGTATGGCAAACACATTTGCTCACAAAAAGGCAGATTTTGTCTCCAGCTTCCTTCTTCATTGAGCCTTTATTACAATATTAACACTGATCCACAATTCTACTGATGAAAGCTCAGCAGCACATGCACACACATTCTGATCTGTCTGAGTGCCTCTCCACTGTCTTATTTGTGGCCTTGACGGACGGAGGCCATTTTCATGATCTCTACCAGAGGTGGGATTGACACCAGCAGTCAATCATAGAGGACTTTAACCCAGTCAAAATTTTTTGCATGGAGAGAGACAGATGTCTGAGGTGTTTCCAAAAAGTTCAGAGTTTTAGGAGACTGATAGCTGGGCATTTTATTATAAATGCTCATAATCATGTTTTATTTATAGAACAATAAAGAAATAGTTATCCTAATGTGGTCTGGACAAATTTATAGATGTGTTAAATTTTAGATATTTAATATACTATACAGTTCACAGAACCCCAGTAGATGGAATTTTTCATAGCTGTCTCACCCTGAGATGCTGAAGGCTCTGGACATTGTTGGACTGTCTTTGTTGATACGCCACACTGTTTCACTGAGGTCACTAACAATACCTGCA